TGTTCAGAATCGTTTCAAACTGTAAGTCATAAATTATACCTCTGGTAATGCGATATCAAGTAAAGCGCTACAGAGACATGGTTTACATTAAAACATTTATTTTTCTTTATTTAATAATACTGAAGGGGAATAATTATATTTTATGCTGTTTATTTCTTATTTTAATAAATATGTTTAAAAATACATAATATTGTAATACCGGTCGGTTCCTGCTTGCCTCTGAAACCCCTTGTCTACCCGCAAACCCGGCTAAGTGTGTGGGAGAAACTGAATGATCAACAGACATGATTTCAATCTAATTAATTTATTGTTACCAAAATATCAATCAGACACAATAACAATCTAATTAAGAGAGGCGATCAAATAGTAGAGCGCGGAGGTGAGATTCAGAAACACGGGGATACTACTACGGACCTTCAACTGAATCTACGATAGCTTAAATACGCTAAATATAAACTACGTCGCACACTAATAAGCTAATTTCTAATTAAACAAGCTCACGATATCTGTACTTTTTATGCAGCGGATCCTACACTTGAATCTTGCAGGAGATCTTTAAAGGGATTGATTAGTGTCGTCGGATCCACTCTCCGTAATCTGTTTTCCTGGGCAACTCCAAGACCTCTTAATAATTCCACTATCCTTCAATCTTCAACTAACAAACTAACTCGCAAACTCTTGGCTAACTTTTACCTCTACTTGCCAACCCTCAAACTCGCGAAAACAGAATTTATATAATATATTTCATTTACATAATCACGCTTTCTTGGTCGGCCGAAGTTGGTTGAATAAAAATATTTTTCCCCAGAAGAGTCCCCAAGGTATTAGTATAGTCGCGGAGAGATCCGTCACAATATCTCTACAATTATAATTTTTTTTTATGCTGAAGGAATAGTATTTTATGTGTTGTTTATTTTTTGTTAATAAATAACTTTAAAGTATGTAAAATTAATATAAAAGGAAACTGTAAATCTATATTATTTAACTCTATTCTCTAACTCTGCATGCATTATCGCGAGAATCGAATTGTTTCAAATAAGTACTACTTTGTGGCACGCAGAATCATATTAGTAGATTGGTTTGGCAAGCCACTGCTAAAAGGTTGCCGACCCTTGCTACCATCACTGTGACCTTCACAGCGTACTTGTCCTTTGTTTAAGGGGTATTTGGGCATTTTATCTTCTGTTGTATTCTCAAGCAAACAATACATACACAGGTGCAGTACAATATTTTCTGAGGAAACACTCGTACTTATTCTTTTTAATTCCACTTTCGATAACCCTCGGACACCCTTCGGTCCACATTAGGGCGAGTTTTTCGGACTTTACTATACTAGAGTCCAAAAGTTACAGGACTACGGCCACCTATGGGACAATCAAAGCATATAGTTAAAGTACCCCCGTTTAAAATACATTCTATCATCCCCCTCCACCAGCGCCGGATTACTCATTACGCGGAGTAGGGAGTTGCCCGTGGGCCCCGCGCTCTTTAGGGGCCCACAAGAGCGTATTCTGTTTTCTGTTAGTACTCCAAAAACAGGCTACAGGACCGCGAGAATTCAACTGCCTAGAGGCTTGCTTCCATGTCGTTTAGTCCGACACTGCTCTCCAACTTGTGCAAGATGGTTTCGTCTATGTCATATAATTGAACTGCGCGCACAGACAATATTTGTTCAGAAATATTCATACTTGTTCTGCGACGTAAGAAACATGGTTTATCAAGAACAACGGCGCAACACTAAATTTTGGCCGTAATTGGATAAAACTCCTGCAGAGACTTTAGAAACGTTCAGGAAGATGTACTAGTATTTTATGGTGTCCAGATCAAAGGTCTACGAGATAGTGGCGCAACGAAAAACATTAGGGCCCCCTGCAAAGTCAGGTTTTGCCTTTATAATATTTTATAAATTGGTTAAATACGTACATGGCATCTGTCAGGCTTTGGGCCTCCTAGAGTCCGAGTCCCCCCTCGCAATCCGGGGGTGTACGTTACGCCAATGGTGCGAGAGGTATCGACGTTCTTAAGACGGTCGATAATCGTAGCAAAGTGAAACCATTATAGAGGTATTTTTTGATATTGCAGAATCGTTCGCTCAGAATTTATATCTGAGGGCAAGGAGCATTATCTATATATTTTAAGTCGTTTGAAAGAGTCCATTTGTCATAAATAACCTCAAATGGCAACGCAAACTATACAATGGTAACTCCTGCATGACAATGCACCTGCACATCGGTCTCAAATGGTCACCAAAACTCAGTGGCGTAAAGTACATCTCGCAACCCCCACATTGCTGGGGACCCAGGGTTCTAGGGGGCCTCAGAGCCTGACTGCCGCCAAGTACTTACCCTTTATAAAATCTAACTTGGGAGCCTCAAACCCTGACTTTGCAGGGGAGCCCAAATGCCACTGCTAAGACTGATACTGAAGGGCTTCTACATCCCGCCTGCTCAACGGACTTAGCTTCTTGCGATTTTTAACTATTTCCATCATTGCAAAAAAAATCTGCAGAAATGCCGTTTTGTGTCATCACCAGGTGAGGTACAAACAGCAACGCAGGAGACTTTACGGGTGATAGCAAAAGATGGCTTCCAGCAGTTCTTCAGCAGATTGTATGCGCGCTGGGAAGAGTATTGGATCCTACTGCGTATAACATACTTATTGTCTAAAGCAATACATTTTGTTATCATATTCGTAAAATCAAAGGAAATATAACATTTGTTTATTTTCAGGGCTACCGCACGCTGCCACTGATTGCTCCAAAGCCAAAGACGAGGCACGATGTTCCTATGGGTTCCTATTTGCGGCACACCCCCGACCCCAACTGGAAAGGAAGGTCTGCCATAGGACCTTCCCTTGTAAGCTTTGAATTTTGTGTTTCATTTTGTTTTTTAATGTGAAAGTAAGCCTGTTTGATCTGTATGCTTCATGTGATGTATAATATAGCAATGTTAGTATACAATGGCTTTTTATGTCACTTAACAGTATTTGAAAGGTAATGCGCTGTTTTTAAAACTTATAATGAATCTATTTCGTGATCTATATGTTAAAACATACAGTGAAATATGTTTAATGCGAAAATGCTTAAGATGAAATTTTGGTTAACACGAAATAATACAACTGTCCCAAGATACTACTATGCATTTTCATGCATTTTTTCCCCTTAACACAAAAAAATTTTCCTACTTAGAATGAATAAAATACGGAAAATATCAGACATTTAATGAAATGTTTGAGAAAGCTTCTGTACTATTAAACTGTCCTAAATAATTGCTGCGAAGCACACACACCGGAACAGTATTTTTTAATACGAGCACTTTCGTTCAACTTTACAAGGCAATACCCAAGTGAGTAGTGTATGAAAGTAGTAGAAAAAAGGTTACAGTTAACACTCCCTCGGTGGGGAGTTGAGCAGTTTCTCCCCTCTCGCAAGGGAGGGGAACACACGTGGCCTGGTGGTTGGTGAGACCTGGGGTCGGAACACAACAAATATCATGAGAAGTAAGCGTAGGTATTTAGACTTACATTCTAATATTAAAAAGAATAAAAAAATGGACGACATTGATCAATTTGTGGACAATTTGATACTAAAAAAAGAACATGTACAGAAAAAAATCAGATTGTTTTCCAAAAACGTAATAAATATTTTGCTTTTCAAAACCTTGAAAATTTTGTATTAAATTTCATTGTAAAGGCTTTTGTTTCATTGATTGTTTTCTAAATAAATGCATATATACATATTTATATTTATAAAATATATTCTAATGTAAATTTTTTGTTGAATATCTGGGGGGTTTATTGCATTATCCTTTAACACGAAAAAGTATTTCAGTCCCCTCAGTTTCATATTAATCAATTTTCATTGTATATAAGATATTTTTTAATTGTGTAACATGAATAATCAGTTCAGTTCATATATTTACATTTCGCGGTTAAAATAAAATATAAGGTGCAACCCAAAGTAGTGATTTAATTCTAATAAAATTTTGGTGAGGGGAAGGGAAGTAGCTTTTACGATATTTTGGGGGTGGGGGTAATTCTTAAGAAAGTTCGATGACCTATTTAAAAATTGACAAAATCAGTAACTAGCACCCTCTACTTTATTACCCATTTCACTATTATTAACTTTCACTCATTCCTTACTATCTCTGTTTCAGCCAAAATTCAACGCCTACCCAACACCCACGTATTCGACCATCGGTCATTACAGCAGGAAGCCTCAGGGTCCACCTCCCGGGGCTCCCATGTTCGAGCGCCCCCTGAACGACAGTGCCCAACTGGTTCACCATCAGTACAATTCTCCCATGTTCCTCTATTCCCAGAAGAACATCGAAAACACGATTCAAGAGCAGACGGGCGTATCAGTCAAGTGAGTTCGCGTTTTCTGTTTCTCTCTTCGAATTAATGAAAATACAAGAAACCAAAAATAAACTGACATAACCTCTAGAAACATAGAAAGATACGAAATTACATTTATAATTTTCAATCATATATTTTTTTTCTAATGATTCATTCTGTCACTGCTCGATTTCAGATAGTGTTTGGTTGAAAAAAACGAATTCTATATTTTTGTTTTATTGATGACTTCTTATCCAATGGCACACACACACACACACAAAACATTTCAGAGAACAAAAACGTTTCCAGTAAGTGCTAAAGAAAGAAAATGGGTTCTATAGAAAAAGGGAAAGGAATTAAAAATCAATATGTTGCTGTTGTAATGTGTTTTATCCTGGGATACATTTGAAATAGAAGAGATGGAATAACAGAAACATACAATTCAATATAGACTGTAGAATATAGACTTTTTATTACAAGCGATGATCCCAACATAGAACAGAAGGCGTGCGTTGCTTTCCATTCGAGACAGGAATCCATTTCAGGCGAAAGTTTGACTTCTTTTTCCGAAGATACATCCACGCCTTGTTCGGGATTCGAACCCGAGCCCACTTGGTTACAAGCCGAGGGTTATATCTACCATACTGGCTGGGCGGCTAAAGTGCCAACGACACGCGGTGTTCCCAGGTGGTCACCTTCTCAAGTACTGACCGCACTCGATGATGCTTAACATCGGTGATAGGACGAGAACCGGTGTTTTCAGAATGGTATGGCAGTTTGCAATATGTTGATAAATTTTGAAATAAATAGCTGGACATTAAAACTGCATCATGTTCTGACCTACCTCAATATAGATGATAGTGTTTTGATCTTCACCTTGCCCAACATGTGTTTTCCAGACATCTCATTTATTGAAAACATCCAATCATGCGTTGTTGAGAGACTGGATACCATCTCTCTCCAATATATGATTGATAAAGTATGGTATATATATAGACTTGAAGCAAATGACTTGGCTAGCATCTGTCACGCAAGCCTAGTCCAACTAGATATCTAACCAGGTGAACGCCATAATAAAGGCCAGAGATAGTAGCAGTGTGAACAAATTTCGGACTTCGTATATTTCCAAATTGATTACAAATTTAATCATGTTTTCTTCCTACTACATTTCGCATGCGTATAGTTACTTGTTTTCCTTCTTGGTGTTTCAATTTTAATTTATTCAAGCATCGAGACATGATAGGAATTGCCCAGAGTCCCCTTTGTAAATTGTGCGACTCCAATGAAGAAAAAATGGACGCAATTCATTTAGCACGCTGCCGTGCGCTCAGCTCTGGATCTATGTGGAGCAGATATTGGGAGGCCAGACACAAAATGTGTGATTTGTAAACTGTATTGTGAACTTGTGTGTTTTTTTTCTGTTTTTGTTGTTTGTTTTTTATCAATTCTCTGTTTTTCATTTTGTTTGCAGTTGTCTTGTAATTGACCACTGGAAGTAAAAAAAAAATAATGGACAGCAGCATATACAGAGTTGGTTCAAAAAGTTAAAAAGTATCCGACCTTTGGCCAGAAAAATTATCTTAGTTCCTTTGCGGGATTAGGATCCTCTAATCCAATTCAAAGTTGGTCTCTTATAACTTCACACACTTCACACTGGCGAAACCACTTCTGGAAGGCTTCTTTTGGAATGCTGTTCAACTCCACCGAAAATGGGATCCCTTCCAGGGGCGTAACGTACACCCCCGTATCCATGGTTCTAGGGGGCCCAAAGCCTGACTGGCACCAAGTACTTACCCTTTGTTATATATGACTTTGCAGGGGGTCCTAATATTCTCCGTTACGCCACTGATCCCATCGTTAGTATTTTCATGTTCGAGAACAGCCAAAAGTCTCAAGTAGCCATGTTTAGCGTTGCTAGTGTCCAGTAAGTCCTGTGCAACTGCAAGACGGAATTTTTCTGTTTCACCGACAGAAGTTTGGGAAAAAATTTCGCAGTCACTTTCCGAATGATTACATAAAATTGCATCTGTAGCACCCGCACTTATCTTAACTTGTTTACCAGTCTCTCGTACAGTCAAACGACAATCTTTCATCATCTGATTTTCCACCTTTTCAACGACGGTTGCACTTCGAGCAGTGGCCTTTGAGAACGCTGGTCATTCTCTACCAACGTGCGGCCCTTTTTGAATCGATTAAACCCCTCCTTAATTTGTGCAACACCCATAGCGTCGTTTCCAAACACTTGCTGAATATTACGAATTGTTTCACTTAGAAAATCATCAAGCTATTGACAAAAAATATGATGCAGTACCTTTCATCAAGTAGTTCAGTCATCTTTAGAGAAATAAAAATCCGACGAACACATATAACAGCACCTCACTCGACTGCTGCACAGGTACGAGGTGAACAAATTCAGATATATGCGTTAAGCTGTCACTTCCCACTGTGTATAGTAGCACTGCCTTAGAATGTCTACAGTGCGCGAGAAAATTCAAGGTTTGATACTTTTTGAATAGACCTTGTATACTGTATGCCAGCTGTCTTCAAATTCTTTCAATTAATGGAACCCCCTCGAACTTGAAGGTGTTTTTTGTAGAACCCCTAGAACTAGAAAGTGTTTTCGTAGAACCTCATTCCACACCATAGAATATATTTCGAAATAATATTTAAAGTAGATCAAAATGTTATAGGTACTTTATAGCAATTAAAAATAGTATTACATTTATTATTAAAAAAATTCTAACCTAATTTTTTATTATAATTTAGTCATTAATAATATTAATTTTTATCCAAGTGACACCTGCCTAAGCTTTATATTTAGTAACTAGGATATGTGCTTGCTTTTTTTCACACAAACTGTCGTAGTCTAGCTCAAATGATATTAAATGCAATCGCATTACATATTCTGAGTTTAGTTTGTTTTAATACTTTGTTTTTATAGCCACATTGAGAAATATACATTTCACTTTAACATAATTTTCTGAATCTCCTTAAAATGTTTATAACTCTGTGTGAGAAATACTGTATATATTTTGCATGAATTTGCAACGTAAAATTTAGAAGCTGTTCTTGCTTAAATTTAGATTTTAACATCGAATCTGTTGATAGGTTGTTTCCTCTCCTTCATTATAGGTGTTTTTTTCCACCAATGCAAAAGAGTGCATTTTCCATTAGAAAACTGTTTAGTTTTGCAAGACATTGTGCTAAAGAGTATAAAATTATCTCGTGAAACCCTATATAGTAAACAATAGAATATTAACAATCTAGTAGGAAGTATATATAAGAAAAGGGACGGTTTTTTTAAATACTTGTAATTATACAGATTTAATAGATAACGCGGATCTATTTTGAATACAAATTTATAAGTTTCTTTTCAATTTTTTATTGTGTCTCGTGGACCTTTGGGTTTGCCTAGTGGAACCCCAGGGTTCCTTGGAAAACAGTTTGAAGACCCCTGATGTATGCATATAAGTAAAATTTTGATACTTGTGCTCTTTCCTTCTTGGTATAACATTTTTAATGGACAGCAGCGTATACATTAATTTGTTTGTCAATATGTTTCTTAAAACTAATATTCACTGCTTCTATTTTTAATAATTGTCCGAAAATGAACCTTGTAACAAACAGTTCAGTCATACATGTGTAATGTGTCTCTTTTAGTAAATTTCATATAATTAGATGAAACCAGCTAAATGAATAGCAAAGAGAGAGAGGAGGGAGGGGCGAATAACAGAGTTTCCCCTCAATTTGTTCCTTTTATTTCCAAACATTTTTTAAAAAGTTTTAACATTCCAAACACCGATACAAGTTGCCACATTCCATTTCATTCTAGAATAAAATTTGATCCAGTTTAATCTTTAACCATTACAGGACTGGAAATTGATATTTCAAATGAAAGAAATAATCTTTTAAAGGACGGGCTTGATTCAAAACCAAAGAGCTCCTTCCCGTTTTGAAAACTTTCTAAACATCACCTTATGTGAAAAAAACCTAGAAACGTCGATTCGTCAACCGATCTCTAGTATTTTTTAGACACAAAACTTCTTCTTTAATCTTTACTTTCTTAGTGAGCTCAATTCCATGTCACGTGATAAAGACAAACACGTGTTCTCCATTGAATTCAAAACAGGCATCACACTAATTACACTTGTTCTATTTAAAAGAAACTTGGGTAAAATTTCAAATTTTATAATTGGGTAAAAATGTTCAAATGTTACAAAAAATAAAATTACAAAAAAAAGTTGATCAAAAGTTAGCAACAACGAGACGCATGAACTGATTAGCTGGAAACACATGATTGCTTTTATCTTGTGACTATAATATCACATGAGATTGTGAACTGATTGGCTGAAAACACGTGTTATTATCACATGACCATGACGTCACATGAATTGATGCCATTGCAAAGACCATCAAGTGAACTTCACCGGGCCTTGTTATTATTATCCAACGATACATGGTAATATCAATCATTGACTAAAAAGGAAGGAAGACAGCATAACCGGAAGTCTTGTCCTGTAGTGAAATTTCTTCTCAAAACAATCCGTCTCCTAAAGGTTAATGATTTTTTACACGGTGTATAATCATAAAAATCGGTGAAATTTAAAAAAAATTGATTTTTAATAGAAATTAGATTAATGATTATTAGTTTTTATTAAGAAAATAGATTTTATGATTATTAGTTTTTATTAAGAAAATAGATTTTATGATTATTAGTTTTTATTAAGAAATTCAAATAATTTTTTTTCCAGAAAGCCAACGCTAAACGTAGGAAATCCATTACCACCCAACCAAGCCGGCCCACTGTCACCAGGTACCCCAGGAACCCTAGCTCCAGCCAGACCCGGAACAAAACTCACCAACATAGTTGATATCACCCTATCTCCAACCTTCCAGATGATCCAGGAAGTTGAGAACAGATCAGGAAGTCCCCTTCCAGAGCAGAGGACCCCTACCCTTCCGAGAAGGGCTCCAGGACCAGGACCGGCCCCGGGCCCAAAGTCCTTCCAAGAACAAATAAATTCTTTCGGTGTTCCTAAAGAAGTTATCCACCAATCAGGAAGTTTCAAGACGCTGATGTCGGCTTTGTATGAACAACAAGCATAAATCCAGTTGTTGCCAAAGTTGTTTTTAAAAAAAAGAAGACAATATTAATTTGTTGCTTTAATTTTCTTTCTTTTGTTTTGCTTTCCAATACACAAGACACTATAGACAGTTTTGCTTTTTTTCTGTTTCAGTTGCCTTATGGATGTTTTAGGTAACGGACTATACATGGTAAGAAACTGGCTCGCGAATGGATATATTCATTTTTTTCTAAAATGCTGTATTTTTGGAGCTGTGTATTATGTTGAGAGTCAAGGATCTGAATAAATTTACTGAAAATTGTTTTCATCGTTGTTAATTCTTTTATCTTTTGTTTCCAAAGCACACAAAATTACAAGTATTTGTGCTATTTTTCAATTCCTACTATTAGTTCACACTCTCTATATTTATCTTGTTAAAATTTTCAATCGTTAATAAAATGCATTTTAAACCACTCCATTGAGCTGAAATTTTATGTACACAATTATTTTGGATGACAATACAGTAAATTAACTATAATTAATAAAAATAATTGATTAAAACTAATTCTTTAAAGAATTACAAATACAGCCACGTTGGCATCATTTTTGGCGACTTGTGTCAAAACTTGAAACGGTTTTCTTCTCACGCATTTTAAAGTGCTCATTTGAGCTGAAATTTTCTATACACTATTGTTTTGTCTAACAATACGAT